AAGCTAAACATTTCGCTTTGTCGACAAATTATGGCATGTCCGCAAAGAAGATGTATCAATTAATGTCGTATGAGAAAACGCTCTTTGATCTGGGAACAAAGCAAAAAGCCACAAATACCCTCTGCAAAATGTCGAGTTGCAGAACGCCAAAGGACGTGTACATGAACGGCACAATGATATGTGGCTGCATAAATCTATACTTTATAATCACACGATACTGTGTAGAATATTACAACAGTGAATAATGCATTCACATTAAATTATATTCTAGATCAGTGCGCATGATATTTTAGTGAACAGAGGGTGATTCATCATTTCTGTGAAACTTCAGTACACTCAAAGGAAGAGGAGATTTATATAGGCTTACGTATATGTAATACTTCAACATTTCATTGTGGAGGGCATTTACGAACTACGCAAATGCATACAACAAATTTAAATTAGATCCAATGTAACCAATTTTTAATAGTTCAACACATTACATTTCTTTACATGTTTCGGTCGAACTTCAACTACAAGAGGCTTGCCAACATTACACAGTTTCCCAGTATTCCTCAGTCGAAAGAAGTGCGTAGATTAATTTCATTTCATAACGTTTGAGAGCCTCTTGTAGATGGTCTGGCCGATCTAGGTCAAAAAAAAATGTAAGGCAGTGTAAAGTTTCAGACAATTACAAATTTATTACGCTGGATGGAAATTCAATTTACTGAATGGAAAGTGAAACAGTGACCAGTGTCTACCACTGACAGCACAAGCCTATGCATGTTTCAACGGAGATATGTAAGTACTAGTAACTGGGAACGGGCTGAAAACCCACAGTTCGGTTCTCAGGAGGCGCAAGAACTTTTCTCTTCGCCCACCGCACGCAGACCGGTTCTGAGGCGTACTGAGCCTACTAGCCTGTGTGCATTGAGAATTCTTCCTCCAGGGATTAAGCGGCCGGAATGCGAAGCTGATTATTCATCTCCATCTAGAGCTAAGGTTATGAATACATGGGACTACACCTCAACTTCCCTATACTTCCATGGCGCAGACCCAAATAATGTTAGAACAGACGCATTTTCATTAAATTTGATGTGTAGGCCCACGTATTAATGAAATGCAGTTCCATCTTCTACCATAAAGCAAACGGACATAACGGACGCGCGAATTTTTTCTTTAGAAGGGACATTATATACAGAACCTACCTACCTACCTACCTACCTACCACTCACCGCTACAGCCCTGGGTGAGCCTTGGCCTCCTCTACCACCAGTCTCCACAACCAATACGTGCTGCCAAAGGAATGGACCGACGCATGATGACCCGAGGCTGGTTGTTAGGTTTCTGAACAAAATTATTTTTACGGGAAGAGGTTGTCAGCCTCATGCCAAACCCACACCCTGGAGGACCAGGGTATCTCTCTTAGTCTGGACTCTACCCTCTGACCTTTCCGGCATGGGTGACCCTACCGGTAGTTAAACTACCGCCGGTATAACGCTCCAGGTCACAGAGTCACGCAAGTCCCACCACCACGACAAGGTGAGACACCTTTCATTAAATACTGAAACCACGGAATTTTGTATGGCCAGAGCGCTTCGAAAAATATTCAACCTTCGTTGAGGTAATCTTCTCAAAGACAGTGTGGAATAACAAAATGGTGGCAGAGCAATATATATATTTAGCTTTGTGTTCGGTGGCGGTAATTAATAAAGCACCAAAATGAGGTATGTAGAATTATGTGTTAAGATACGACATAAACACAGCAGACAAACCCTTTACAAAGCATGTTAACAATTACAAACAAAGCAACAATCTCAAACTTTAGGTCGTAGGCCTATGTGACAAATAGAACACAAAAGGGATCTTTAATTATGAAAACTGTGCATAGAAATGGACCTCTAACTTACATAAACATGATTTACAGACTCTGCTAGCCTCCTCTTGCCTAAACCAATTGAAATACTGCCGGCCACGGTAGCCGAGCGGTCTAAGGCATGAACTGTCTTCGCTCACTCGGAAGCCGGGATGGCGGGTTCCAATCCCACACAAGACATGGATGTTTGGTGTGTCTATGTCTTTATTGTGTTTGTGTTGTCCTATGTTTAGGTATAGGCCTTGGACGGGCTGTTCACTCGTCCAAGGAGTCCTACCGTCTGTAAAATGATCAATGAAACTGAGAAATCAGCCTAATGCTCCAAAGTGGGAGCGAAAGGAAGGGGGGGGGGTGAAATACTCGTTGGTAAAGGAACCCAAAGCACCCTAATTTCTTCCAAGACTGTTAAAATGCAGTCAGATCGAGAACTGAACTTTACCTCTAAAATTATGAATTTAATTAATGCAAGTACTAAGAACGATAGACTTGAAAGGATTCTGACAATGGTGTACAGTGTACTTCTTTTGGCTTATTTTGGACTTCACCCATCGTCTGGTATGTAAAAGACAAAAAGATAAAAACCACGACGTTTCGGAGACTGGATCTGTCTCCGTCTTCAGGTGGATAGGGAAGGATAAACCTACTCAGTTGGGCCCCTTAGAAAGAGCTAGTCTCAATCACTGGACGAGACACTGAGACTGAGACTAGCTCTTTCTAAGGGGCCCAACTGAGTAGGTTTATCCTTCCCTATCCACCTGAAGACGGAGACAGATCCAGTCTCCGAAACGTCGTGTTTTTTTTATCTTTTTGTCTCTTACATACCAGACGATGGGTGAAGTCCAAAATAAGCCAAAAGTACTAAGAACGAGTTTCATGAATTGGACAAAAACGAACATCACTGTTCTCAATGCATAATGCGACTGGATCCAACAGAATTCTTCGACCGGACTCTTGCAGCCGATCAAAGTGGGTCCGCGGTCTAAGACAATAAACATCTTCATCCACTCGAACACTGGAACCGCGGGGTCGAATCACAGTCTAAGCATGGATGTATACGTTACTTCCGTCTTTATGTTATCCTGTTTACGCGACCTCACGATGAACTGATCCCCAACCATAGGTGTCCTACTAGTGAGTTAGTTAGTTATTGGAGAGGGTGTGTTTCCCCATGCACTTAGACCAGTATTGGTCCATTGTGCTTCCCTCTATGATATTCTACCAGTCTCTATACCCTACCGATAATGGTGCTTACCATCAGTCCCGACCGAGCCAGCGAGTTCGGCCTCTACTGGCTTAGCGGTATCTATAATGCTTCCCCCATCTATCGGAGGCGTTAGAGACTACTGTTGGGCGGGAAATGTCCTTGAATTTGGCTCAGTGACCTCCTTTGGAGATATGAGGTTCTTTTACGTGCCGTAAAGCTACGACACGGGACCCACGGCTTAAAGTAGCTCCCGGAGGACTTGTTCACTGAATTTTTCAGCCCTTAAAAATTCCACGACCTCCGCCGGGTTTGAACCCGCGTACCACGAGTTACCTCTAGACTACGGAGGCCGCTAGGTGTCCTACTAACTGTCTATAAGATTCATAGTCTCCGATCAATTCTTAATGGGAACCGGCCAGGGACCCTAAAACGAAGACGACAATTCACAAGACGCACGGGGTCACAACGTCCATAATGAACTGTGCTGTTAATCTCGCAGACGGATCCCAGTAACCCGTCTTGTTTCTCGTGGAAAGGAAGGCGTAGTGAATGTTTTGTAATAAAAGTACAGCAAGCGTTCATGATATTAATTAAACTGTCATAATTATGAAAACTCAAGGTACTTGCAAGCTCTTTTTTTTTTCCATTTCATAATTACTTTGTTTCAGAATCGTACTTAAAGTTTAACTTCATAAAGCGCGTTTTAGGAGCTAGAAACACTGACTTCTGAACACACACAAAAAAAAGAGGAGTTCATGATCAACCATTAAATGCAAGCACACCGAACGTGTGCATGCATTTATTGAAAGTTAATTCTGCTGAAAATTAAATGAGCGTTACATTTTAAAAGACCGTCTTTTGAGTCAGTAATGAGAAAAGGTACTGTAATGTTCCTGTGGACAATAAAACTATCTCTGCTTTACTCATCTCTGTTACTTTCATTATTCAGAACTGTAAATCCCTTACGCATAAATAAGCAATCAGACAAGTATAACTACATTCTGCAACAAAAGACAGACTGTTAACAAAATGATGACTTGTAATCAGAAGTCATCAATTCGAATCTGGAGTGAGACTCTTTCTACAGTGAGATTTTTCATGTTACTTCCGGTAGAATACAGTACCGCGAAATACAACACGACGGCTGATTCGCTAGTCGTTTCCATTTTACCTTATGGAAGTATCTTACCTCATTCGACGCTAAAGTAATATTTATGGTTGATGCAGTGGTCTTAAACAGAGAATCAAAGGCACCGAACATAATCCTGAGATAACTAAGTCTTGTTTAATCCTAAAGACCCGGCAACCTTACAAAATACAGAAATGAGAGAAGTCAGTTCTTTTACAAGCAGATGCCTCTCGAGCGCAGATAAAGGAGTTCTCATGCAGCAGCATTTCAATTAGTTTCAAGTGCATGTCAGTGTCACACTGTCGGCCTCCACGTCAAACACTGCTCAAATGCAATGTTTCATATGCCTGAGTACTACTAAACCGCGTGAGATCTCTCACATTAAAGAAGGAGCACAGACTAAGACTCTCTGATAGCTGAGGAGAATATTTACACCCAAGAGGAACCAAGTAACAGAGGACGGAGTAAATGCATATAAAGGTGGTCCATAACTTCTGCTCTGCACTATATACAGAGTATACAAAAGTCAGTTAACTGGTTACTAAAATGTTCTTAAAATACTTTAGAAATGTCTTTATTACTTACTGAATTTACAAAAATTGTTCGAAAAGAATTCCTTCATGTTCATTGCGGATCATATGACCTGGAAATGAAACGAGGCAATATTGATCCACTGAAAGTGGCCATGTTGTGTCCTCTAGCTGAAAGTTTTCTTCGTGTTCAGTAGTTCAAATTTGTGCCAAACAATCAGATTCTAAAGGCTTCTGATATTTGGAATTACTGGGTTCTGGGGCTTTGTCCATTGTCTGATATTCTAAAAACTAGAGAATTGGATCTGCTTCCTTCCTCAGGTGAAGGAGCCACCTACTCTGTTGGGTCCCTTAGGACGAACTAACCTCAGTCCAGTCATTGTGGTTAGCGTTGTTTTCTCTAGCTATTCAAACACCGGACGATGGTCAAACTCCAAAAACCCAGTAATCGTAGATTTGAAGCATTTATTTAAGTGTCAACACCAATGAACACAAAAGTTATTCAAAAGAATACAAAATCTTCCAGTAGGAAGTACATACATTAACCTGTATATTCCACAGCATAAAAAGAAATCTAGTTTCAATAATTTTTTCCTCTTTCTCCCTATAAGTTTAACATTGCCTTGGTCTACTGATAATAAAACAGACTTCGCTTCAATATACGAGTAGATCTGTACTTAGTACTTCCAGTGGTAGTTGTCCGATTATTTGTTGTAGTATGACGTGAGCCTAACTTCAGTCTACATTAACACCATCAAGTTCTGAAACAAAACAATGCATCCCATCATAAATACATGCGCACAGCCGAAAAATACAGTAATTGGTTTCATTACAATAAAATTATTTCAGCTTCAAGTCTTCCACAATACACATATCAGAGGAATTCTGTGACATAATAAATTATGTCGATCCAAACTACTCGTACATCGCTGATATCTGTCTACGGTTCTACAGCCTTTGTGGACCTTGGCCACTTTTTCAGTTCCTTAATCCTGTACACAGTCGGCAGGACTCCTTGGACGGTGAATTAGCCCGTCGCAAGGCCGCTACCTACACGCAGAACACAAACAGAATAAACGTAAACAGACATCCACGCCTTGAGTGGGATTCGAACCCACGATCCCAGCGTTCGAGCGAGCGAAGACAGTTCATGCCTAAGGCTGCGCGGTCACTGTGATCGGTTCATTGACCTGATAATGTTCCTAAAAACTCTTCTTCTACTACAGCCATACACGATATTCCTATTAAGAAACCCAGCGGACGGTAAGGCCTAAAGTGCAATAATTCTGCTGCTTAAAAAAGAATATTCTGCAAATGAACACCCATAACCAGCAGCCCAGGCCGTGAAAGCGGCAACGACCCGCATCACAGCATTCGCAAAGCTAAAGGGAAAATGGAGAGGAGTGTATAGTCATGAAAGGAAAGTTGCATTTAAAGAGAACGGTGAAGACAGGGTGTGGAGGCAAATGTATCCACAAGTGCACCACTTTATTAAGTACTCACGAACAACAAAATATACACAATTTCCTGAAGTAATCAATGGGAAGAGAGGACACTTATCCAACTTATACATATTGTGGGGGAACCCACGAAACTTAAATGAACGGCCAACCTCTGAAAGCAGGAAAGCATTCAGTCACTACTATTACTTTCAGAGTGCAGATAAAACTGTTCTTGTTGGCAAAGAGTTTCACTTGAAAACGCTAGAGGTAAAGCAAACGAGAACAAATTATTTCTCTGAACATGCAGCGAATCCCAGATAAGAGTTCCCAGGGCTCCTACAAATGGAAAAAATTAGAAAGTTCACCCAACATTACACCCATCAACAAATCAAAAATCAGATAAATGTATTCCCTTGAGTTGAATCTCACTGCTGTAGGTAAAACACAAGAAGAGAATGTTTAGAGCGTGACCGGTCTTGATCAGCCACATATGAGCTGACCAAAGGGCACCAATGAACACTAAAGTGCTGCGGAAGAAGGTTGTCACTGATGCTATTCTGTTCACCGAAAACATATAGGATCAGCCAGAGAGAACCAACCTTTCGCTTAAAAAATCCTTTCCAGAACCAACGACCATGGTGGATGGGGAAAAAACAAAACAAAAAAACATGCAAAATAAAAGCAGGGTTAAGGGAATTCTCTCGATGATCTTCCTCGATATTACAAGTTGGGGGGGGGGGAAGTTGCGTCTGAAGAAAAGAAAAGGGATTCTTAGTCTATGCTTCCATACATGCCCCAAAGCTTGCCTGAGGTTAGTTCTTCCTAACGGACCCAACACACTAGATGTCTCTCACCCACTCGCCTGAGAAGGGAAACAGATCCAGTTTCCGAAGCGTTGTGTTCTTTAGAATACTAGACGACGGACAGAGTCCAACAGACAACAATCCCGAGTGTTACACACCATCGCAAGAACACTTCGAAATCTACTTGATACAGTACTCTCACGTGTCACAGTGACTAAGGACGGCGTTCGGATTGGTAATTGGATTTATTAACAATATACAGGTTGTACCTAGAAATAACTCTTACACTATTACTGATTTACAGAATTTACAATCACTTCACACTAATCTTCTCAGTCTATTTCCACTAGTCTTCACGGATTTATAACATAGGAACTATAAAAGTCTCCTTAAATCACACAATCCCAATACCACCGCACTACAGCGCACATAAATGTTCACAGGCTGATTTCCTGTACACTTCTGTACCCCCCGAACTTAATGCTTGCTTGTTCGCGTACCTCTGCCATTTCGTAACCGTCTTGAATGAATTCTGCCACTCTTACTTATATAGCCGCGGAACGGACATGCACTACAGTAAACACATCACGTGATCGCTATCCAGCCAGTCAATTGGAGCGCCGGTAGGATCTACAGAAAATATAGCTTCTTCTATTGTTGGGTGTTGGACCGTGTTTACAGAGTTGTTGACTGGCAACGTGTTGATCAAATTCCTTACAATATCAATTCCATATGACTCATTTCCTGCATTGGTTCTGCAGTCAGTGTACATAACTATGGTAACTATTTGAACCACCCACCTTAATTAATAGAATCCTGAAATGTCCAAAAATCGAATCCATTTAGTACATAGCACAGTAGTGCTTACTTTCCTACAGCCATCGTTAACAGACCGATGGTAACGGATGAGATGCGCATTTCACGGATATTTCATGCTCAATGCCTTCCACCCAGAAATTAATGCCTAAATGGGCTCGAGAGAACTAATGCACCTCATTTATTATTATTTTGGACGTTCATAAGTACACGATATATCATAATCATGTTGAAGCATGCAGGATTATGGTCCAATGTCAGTACCAAAAGCCTCCTGGTGCAGCTTGTCTGTCCATCTCTCTACTCCGGAATGTAGTCTTGCGCATTATCACGATTATTATTATTATTATTATTATTATTAGTAGTAGTAGTAGTAGTAGTAGTAGTACCGGTATTATTATCCTCCTCATACTCATAATGCCCTGACCTACCATAGCAACTATACTCAAGGCGATTGTCATGTGGTCTTAAGAAACTTCACTTAATTCTGACGGATCACATGTTCTTAAGCAAAAGTATATTCACTCTGCAGTTTGCAATCTCCCTAACACAGTGACTGAATATATTCTGACATGACGCCTGAAAGCGAAATTAATTCCTCGCTAGGCAACGGCTCGGTAAACACATTCCAGCCGAAGCGAACGCACGCAACAACAGAAGAGCGGTTGCTTGTGGTCCGCGCCGCGCGCGTCGCTATGCAACGGTGCGAAAAACACATCTCTGCAGCAGTGCATCAACAGAGGAAATGGTGTTTTCTGTGGTGGCTGACCCGAGGCTACACGAGGAAAAATTGAAAGCCCGTGTGGAAGAGGGGGCCAAAAACCTCCATTGTAACCCTGTGAATCGTAGAAGGCGACGAAAAGGGAACCCAGTGCCTATGGGTACAACTAGGCCACCCTGTTCCTAGGGGATAGAAATACGGGGATCTGGCTCTCCAGGTTGGCGGAGACTCGAATCTGAGAGTAAAATGTGGCCATGAATCCCGCGGGACTAGGACCTGAGAATGATTTCGCTGACCAAGACCAGCAGCAATTGCCAACAACAGACTCATCCTCTTGTCAAAGAGGACGTTACATAAGGACTATGACCACAAGTGTTCAGTTCATAAAAAAATAAACGTTCTGGTAGTATCAAGGGACTTGTCGACAAGATGAAGTAATTGGCGGCAAACCGCCAGTCGTGAATTAACTCTAACTCTTAAATAGAGCTGAACTGACTTCCGGAGCTGGCAGAATAATGGCAAGAAGAGAACTGGGCTGTGTGAAAGAAGACTTCACAGCGTGCTGCAGTGACAGAGAAGCTGTTATAAATTCGTTGCCAGGATACGACTAGTGAAGACTGAGAAGACTCAGAGAGTCCTAGTGCTCTATAAAGTATGTAGATCAGTAATAGCGCTGTATTACATGTAGTTACGAGCTGAATGTTTAAGGTGTCAATAAATTTAATTACCTAATCCAAAACCTGTCTCTAAGTCATGGGCAAGACACTATAAATCTAGCCATCCCCTGCATAAAACCTTACTTTCCTGGCCTGGTTTACCGTTTCCTTTAAGAAGAAAATCAAGCGTTTTTGAAGATTCAAGAAATTCATAATATGATTACTATAGTATTCTTCCTTATTATCAAAACGGTTAAAACCGTCATAATACTGACAGGCGTCGCTGATTAAACGAGTCGATGATACCCTGAGAACCCAGCAAAAGCACTTCCGGAAATATGCTCTAAGTTCGAGGAGAATGAACACTCCGTCAGCCAACTAAAAACTGTTAATAACAGAGACGAAACTTTCTTGATGACGCCTTCTATGATCATTTTTGTTCAGATTTTTATTCTTTATCATTTGTCGATATTACGAACAGTTAAGATTTACTCCTCCTGATTTCTTTAAAATGTTCCTTCTATTTCCGACTGACGTTACGCAGGAGATTCGACATTTCAGTTCCTCGAATTGCAGACGAAGTCTGAAAGCCCACATGAAGTCTCCAGTTTTATTATTAAGGGTCAATCTGATACTCTTTCTCCATTTTTCTTTACTTTGTATCTTACTTTAACGTTCCCACCACGCGGGTTCAAACCCGGCGGAGGTTGTGGAATTTTTAAGGGCGGAAAAATTCAGGGAACAAGTCTTCCGGGAGGGACTTTAAGCCGTGGGTCCCGTGTCGTAGCTTTACGGCATGTAAAAGATCCTCATGTCTCTAGGAGACCTCTCAGCAAAATTAGGCAACAAGTTTCCCGCCCAAGTAGTTTCCAATGCCTCTGGTAGATGGGGGAAATATCAACTACCGAGGGCCGACCTCGTTGGCTGAACGGAGCTGATAGCACGCACCAGTACCGGTAGGGTATGGCGACAGTAGAAATTAAAGGGGGACGCACAAATGGACCAATAACTGATCTAAGTGCATGGGGAAACCCGCCACCTTTAATAATAATAATACTTTAACAGAAGGAGAGTTTCTCTCTATACTGAAGCAATCGGCTATTCATAGGTTTGTATATACTCGTATTTCCAGTGATCACCTGGTATATGCTACTGCTACCGGAAAGCGCTTCTATAAAAGAAATGCATTAATAATGTGTATATATTAACCGTCTTCTAGTGCATACAATTTCACTTGTCACTTCACACTACATGTTTCGGCATCATTCTGCCATCCTCAGGTGTATTAGTCACGTTAAAACACTGCACTGCCTGGCATCAAGT